GCTCTGAGTGATGAAGCTTTCCAGTTAGGAACACTGATTTGAATCAGTATCCAAGATGACTGCAAACAGACAGCTGTTTGTGAGTTGATATCAAAAGAACCAGTACTCTGAATCTAGTCTCTAAAGGAGTATGTTATGTATCTATCTAGGTTTGTATATGACATTTGCCACCACATCTCTGCAATTTGCACTAGCCTAACAGGCAGTTTTAGCAAAGAGGACAAAGGTAGCAAAAAGATGTGGGCACAAATTTTCACACATTGCTCCACTCTTTTTGGATGTCTGAGTAAATCTCAAATTTGACACAGAATCACCTAGAACCCATTCAAAATCTGGGTAGATAGAGTGAAACAACTACTAATTCCTACATATAAAGTAAAATTTGCCGAATAAAGCCTCCAGTGGCTCTAGTTTTAAGCAATTCAGATACCTCCCTGAAGGTGACTTAGCTCATTTACAAATTGTTTACGCTGATATCAAATAGAAATAAGGTACACATTAGGACCACAGAAGCAGCTAAACACTCATCTTCTATTGATGTCACAGAAATTTTGCAAATTATACCACTGAAGATTTCAAGCCAAAATTTCAGGACTGGAATCATCCAAGGCAAAATATAGATAAGCCAGAGGACTGTACTCCAGCATGTAGCATTATACATCCATTAGAGGTCTCAAGAGTTTTTACTTTTTTTGAGTCTTCATCTGAGTTGGCTTTCACTGATGTCTCCTGCTGTCTTCAAGGTGATGTAGATCAGATTCATACGTAATAGGTGTCTAGTGCAATCTTAGCTATTACCATTTAACAGAAAGCTGGGGACAAAAAAAAAATTGAATTTCCTAATACAAACATGTATATACATACACAGTAGCCAAACTACTTCTGTGCAATACTTTGAACCATCAACATCCTGAGTCATTGTGGCACTTAAACCATATGGCAAAACACAGGATAACATCTGAGAGACCACTATCCTGATCAGCTATTGAGAGTGATACATAAATTAACAAGATAATCTAACAGAGTATTTGGAAGGTGTCTTCCAAAGCAGCAGTAAAAATGACAAATACTTACATTTCTGTCTGAGTGAGGCTATTTAAAATAGAGCAGCTTAATTAAGAATATGAAATGAGTTGCTTGTGACCACACAAGCTAAAATTCTGAGCTAATTCTGGATGTTCTTTCATTCCAGTGCTACTGAGTGGAGGAAATGAAGGTGAAGGAAGGAAATGGCCTTCCTGGAGTCCTTGACTAAATTTCAAGAAGCCAGGACTTCCCTCTCCCTGGAAAGTTTTCCACCAGAGTCAATATCCCACAATTACTCAGTGACACAAATATTCAAGAGCAAGAAAATATTTTTCTTTAGCTTACACTTATAAAAGGCACTGATCCATTTCAATCAGAGTAGACTTAGCAGGAAAGAGGCTAACCATTGGCTTCTCCTACATTAGTTTCATGCATCATAAATTCCATTACTGAAGCAGCAAATGCACCTATTTCTTTAAATGTTTTTATAGCATAATGGCATAATAAACCATTTCCATATTAAAAAAAACAACAAGGATTTACCATTTGAAAAGATTCTTGGTTTAGCCCTCCAAAAATATTATTTTGTAACAGTCTACATGAAAAAATAACAAGGAAGCATATTTCCCCTTCACTATGCACCCTTTCATTATGAATGAGAATTTAAAAGTGTAAGTGCAGCAGAAAAGCTCCAGTGTTTCTGACATCATGGGTCCCCACTCCCTTTCTGTCTGAAACCGTTCTAGAGGAGATCCCATGAACTAATAGGTTGCTCTCTATTTTTACAGAAACCTTTTATTCAAGTTATTCTCTCTCTTCTCCTTTCAAGTAAGTCCTGCCTCACAACTGTGTTTCCTCTTGTTCCAAAGAATGTGGAGGGACATGGCAAGATGCTGGAAGAGATGCTAGCTTCTGAAGCTTAGGGTGTTGCAGAGGTTTTGGCCTGTGAAAAGAACGTCGGCTTTGTACACGTCTGGCTGCAGCAGATCTGTAATTTCCTTGTGCATCAAGCAACATTTTCTTCTCTTGGGGCTCCTTCATATAAGAGTCTTCCAACCCTTCAAATACAAGTAGAGAATTCTCTTCTTGTGAATTGTCTGACTTGTAGCTAACTTCAGAACAATAACCTGAGTTTACTGTCTCTTTGTTATTTGTATCTGTGCCTGCTTCCCAGAAGAGATCAGGTACATTTGGGTCACAAGAAGCTATATACTCAGAGACAGTAGAAAGAGATATATTCCCTCTGTTTTCCAATGAAGAATAGTTTTGTGTCCAAGGCATTTGAAGACAAGATGGGAAGAAGTGGAGGGGCGTCACAGAAATATTTTGGTTTTGATTTAGTTGGTCATCCGAAGAGGAGTATTCTGTCATTTCGACATCATGGTCCATGTCACCTAGAGAGCACAATTAAATAGAAACATTTGTAATACACAATTCCTATACTAGTATGCTGGCTCTAGGGCTTTGCTTTTGGCTATTTTTATTAAAGTCTTATGAAAGTGAGCAGTTTTAGATGGCTTTTTTGCTGGGAAACTGTATTCTGTCGCAGTTTCTATCTTCAACATTCTGAAGTGAGTTTATTAAAGTTCTTATCCTTGCTGAGTATCATGGAAAATTTCATTCAGTGTTTGTGATGAACAACTGCCTGTTTCAGATCTTTAGGAGATGGAGCCATCATCTAGTCATTAAGATGTATTTTTATCTAGAAGCATTTAGTCCTGGTACTCAGCAAGGGAATCTTTCAGAAACTTTTGAGAGAAATTGTGCTCTTTCAATCAAGGAGCAGAGGGTATCACTAGGGAGTCAATTTCTTATTGAGCAGAGCCTATGATCAGTTTTCTGTATACTTTAGACTATGTAGAGAAACTTTAAATTTCCACCCTTGGCTTCCAGTTTACATTGTTTTTTAAAACCTTTTAATTTAAATTTCAGTATCATTCTCCTATTAGGAGAATTTTGTTAAGGAGATAATTCAGAAGGCTGTTTCAGAGAGTAATCAAAGTCTAAGCTTATTAGCTTGGGAAATCTAACTTCCCAAAACACTCCTTAAGAAACACAGCAGTCAGAACCCAGTGATTTTGATATACCAAAGATACCTGAACTTATACATATCCATTCCTAATAATAAAGTCAATTATAAATAAGGCAATAGAATGGAGGAAAAGAACAAAAGTTAGCAAGAAAATGTTCAGCTAATCTTACGTCAACATTTTATGACAATGTTCTCAGTGGGAAAAAAAGTGAAAATAATTTCATTGTGGATAAGAGTCAAGGAGAAGTTTTCCCTTTGGAATGCTGCTCATTTCTTGAGTTTTTAATTAGGATACTGGAATTTAATTCACAATTCTTTAATTAATCCAGTGTTTATTTTAAAATATCATTTAAAAAATAATCAAAGGTACATTAATAGGGAACTGAGTACAGACCTACAGGCCACTATAGTAAAGAAAGTGATGTGCTTCCTGTTGCACAGGATCTATCTTCTGCAGAGATAGAAGCCAGAACAGAAGAAAAATGTAACTTCCTTTTCTATTTCTTGTCAAAAGGTTATGAATTTCTCAAATCAAAATTACTAGCATTCACTGTTATTCTGAGGTCTTTGTCTGAACAAAGTTTCTTCAACTAACTACAGGAGTACTTTCAACTTACCACATTCCTTTATTTGTTGGTGCACAGAGGACACTAGGTCATACATTTGTGATCCTGGGTTCCACAAAAGTGAATTCATGATGAAACTGACTATTGCATTTCATTGCATAATCCCTGCAATGCCCTATGTTCTATTCAATTATGATATCTGAACTGTGACCTGACTCACCTCATTTACAGCACTGACTGTGTTGATTACAGAAGAGAAGGCTGATTTTTATGGTGTGGAAAATTTCCACAAAGTGAGAATTAAAGGCAACTAGGATATTTACTGAGACTCAGAGTCAATTTAATTTTAAGCCTCTAACGCATTAGAAGGAACCTCATCAGAAAGCTACACATTTTTCTGGTTTCAAAATAAGGTATGGATTAAGATAAATTTACAGTTTAAGGATAAAGGTTTAATCAAAACTGGAATTTTGCTTCCCTATAGTCTGGCTGTTGTGTAATTATCTCTACCTGTGCAAGGGAACTCATGCATTCTAGTAAACATTCTTCATTTTTAAACCCTTTCTCATGTAATTTAACAATGACATAAGCAGTGTCATTGAGTACTTGTATTGTAGCAGTGGGACCATTTTCCCTTCCTGAGCACTGGATAAATAACGTGGGTAGATGTTCAAAATTGCCTCAAGGCTTCTTAGAAACAGAGGCAAAAATCATATTCTAATCATACTGAGAATGAAAGACTTAGCCCAGCTCGTTGCTGGTCTAGCCCTGCTGCTCCTATTGTAAGTCTGAATGCAATAAAGTCCAATGGGTTAAATGAGTCATCTGACCTCTAATGGGCAAACCATATCCTTTGGCATCAGCAATTGGATTGTCTTTCTGGGGCCTCAGGCTACTTTGCTTACATCTGCAGACAGTAATGACAATGTTACTCGAAAAGACCAGTCACTGTTCAAGGGGGTCAAATCAGAATGACTTGATTTCTGTTAGGGAACTCAGGTACAAATCTTGTTATCTCGAACTGACTAACCAAGAAACCTGGAGTCTCTTGAAAATGAGTGCACAAGATTCTGGTATTTGGAATACTATTTTCTTGGCATTTAAACAATTCAAGACAAAACAAAGAGCAGGACCCTTATCTGGTGTAAAAATATTTGGACCCCAAAGAGTTGGACAGCTCTTCTGCAGAAGGAAAATAGAAAGATGTTTTGTTATTCAAGCTGGAGGAAAATAGAAGATGTTTAGTTGTATAGAGAAATCAGGAAGGAAAGAGATACTCTGGGAGAAGAAAAATCAGAAAAGCAAGTTTACTTGTCAGTAGTCAAGGTTGATAAGAAGGCTGATTAATAATAAAGGGGATAATATCTTTTAAAATATTACATATGTGTTGGTTCTGGAAGGAAAGATCTGGGTCGGTCATCTGGGCCATCTGCTAGCAGGAAGGAATCTATTGATTTATTGCTGAGTCGGAATGGAGTGAGACGTCTGAAGTTGTTCGGAGAATATGGGATCTGCACTCGGGCCCTTTGTGATGGTACCACAGTATCTTCACTAGATAACCATGGTGAGAACTTCATGTAGATGCTTTGACCATCATCAGCTGAAAATACTGGGTTATCAATTCCTAAAAAAAGTTCACGAGTGACAAATACAATTAATCAAAATAATTTTATGGCAATACAGCAAGTGTTTTGTAAAAGGAGAATGGCTATAGTGGGAAGAAAACAGGCTGATACACGCCGGTATACGTGTGATGAGGCCAATATACAGACCATTATACACACATAGGTTGCTCTTTCTACCTTGTTTATTGCCAGTCATTTTGGATTTCTATTAAAAAGAAAAACTGGATAGTATATCCAATATGCAGTTATGTTTGAGATATCTGGGGACAAAAAATAAAATCATTAAAAGAAGAAATTGGTCAGCAAATTTTAAGCAAAACAAAGCATAATATAAAATAACTGCAGAAAATTCAAAACAAACCCATAAAAAAGAAACAAAAGATGGGAAAAAAAATGCAAAAGCATAAACTAAACAGCTCCGTAAAGGAATGAGATGTGTGTGAGGGAGCTAAAGCAGGCCACAGAACAGCCAAAAGTAAGTTGCAGGAGTCTTTTAATATATATGGCAATTTTGTAGTGTTTGAACAGAAAAAGAAATTTTAAAAATTAATCTAGGTCTGCATCTTGCCACCCACTTATTTCTGGATCGATTTCTGGGTGTCTTCATCCATTAGACACAGAATTTGTCATGGAACAGTGAAAAGGCTGTATCAGCATGTCTGCCCAAAGAATGCAGACAGAAGTGCTTTTCTTCACTGTATGTACTGTATGCACCATGTCACACATCAAGCATACAGTGGCATGCTGAAAATTCAAACACAAAATTGCTAAAGAGAAATACTAAATTTTAAAACAAATAATTTATGATAAATCACATCATATAGTTTCTGTTATATACAGTGATGCACTTTCAATCTGATACTTTGGAGCATTTCAGGGCTGGAAATCAAGTTCAATAAATGCTTCAGGAATGCTGCAAATCTGGCCTTTTCTGTGACTTCTATGAGCCTGTAAGAATCTGAGGGAGTTGCAACTTTAAGAGGAGAAATCCTGCCTGAAAGAAGCAGCATGAAATTTATCACAACAAAGTGCTTCAAATGCAAGTAGAAAACAGTTCCAAAGGACTAGTATTGACTGGTCTTGTGAGGTAGGACAACTATAAAATACCATCTTCTCTTGCTAGAAACAATTAGTGGTTTTAGATCTGGTTTAGGCAGTCATGCTCACAACTTCTATCAGTAGCAAATTTGATGCTCTCCATACCTCCGGATATCCAAAACTTGCTATCTGTTAATTTTAATATTAAGCAAATATATTTTCTGATAGAACACATCAAATCAAATCAAAACAAAACAAAAATTACAGGCTAAATCAGTAGCATTTCTAGTATTTTTTTAGCATTTGAGAAATGAACCCAAACAACTCTGTAGGTAATGAATATTTTTACCAGAAGGAGTATCTGTGAAATTTTGTTTCGTCACATTAGCCAGGAAATCAACTCCTTTGCCCAGATGCAAAGTTTCATAGTCATTGTTTTCCTCTGGTTCAGAAAACTCCAAATCTGGAAAAAAAACCAAAAAAGTCCAATTTGATTAGAGATTTGTATCAGTTCTGATAGAAAATGCTAATACATGCTCTTTTGATGCTGGCTTAATTATCAAAGATATAACTTTATTAAGGATCTAGGTAAGGTCAAAATTTAATCCACAGTTGTAGCACGGAAATGTGAATGTGAATGTATATACAGTTTGCAGCTTAGATGCCAACTACGTCAATAAACTCAACACAGATTTCTGGCTTGCATTATTATCTGGTGCTATGATAGAGAGAGATTTATGATACAGAGAGAGTTTACACTCTGGCTAAGCTTTTGGCTAACAGAATTGTCTGCTTTCCTGGGACTGAAATGAATCAATCTATGACATGGCACCACTGCTGCTGCTGTGTTTTGTGTCTTAAATGCTCATGTGTTGACAAATGTCATCCTATTACAATGACCAGTCACTGCATTTTCAGTATTTGACAGAGGTCAGCATTAGTATCCTGACTGATTTCAAACCCGGTGAGATCATTGCTACTTCTACTGCAGTAGAATCAGTTTTACAACAGCTGCAAAACCACTTGTTCAGATTGTCTTCCAATGAAGCTTTTTTTTTTTTTTTTAAGTAGAGGACAACATCTATATACAGTGTTCTTTAACAAGATGGCATTGAATGACCTACACATAAGTATTCAGAAAGCTTTTCCCATGCAAAAAGGTTCTAGAATATTCCACTTATTCAGACAACCTGTATTGCCTCTGTCAGTCAGAGAAAAATAATACTCAGAAAATGATTCAAAGAACATACATAAAGAAAAATATCTTTGCTTGAAGCTATTGAGAAAAGCCTCTCTACTTCAATTCTCTTTGAGATCAAGGGGTTGCATGTATAAACAGAAGAAAGAACACAAATAAGAGTTAGTTCAGTGGCTTTTAAACCATGTTTCAGTTTTTAAGTGACGCATTTTATTTTATAATTACATAACAAACATATTAGTGGCCATCACATCTTGCTATAACTGACATCAATGCCAAAAGATGACTAAAACATGCCATGAAAGAATTTAGGACTTCCTGTGCAAAACCAGCTTTTGCTAGGGGTGCTCGCTAGGTCAGTCAGCTTCAGATTACACTTTCAAGGTTGACCTGTGTGTTAGATTTGTACATGAAGGATGAATCAGTGCTGAAACTGGTCTCTGACTATGTGTTCCTTTCAAGCTACACTCTCCTTGAGTTCTGTGCTTGCTTAGCGTCAGCTCAGATTCAGACCCTTCTAAACAAATGGACCTTAACTCAGATCAGAATGTCATCTCAACTACTGAGTTTTATATGGCATGGTGTCCTGGGCAGACATACCCTGCTGTGATGGAAAAGAAAAATGTTACCAAAAGTTGCTCTGTGCAGTATATCCAAAAGGAAGCTGAAAGTTCATCCATGTTGTAGGCACTGCATTGTTTTGTTTTCAAAATTTAAATGTGATGTTTTAAAAATGTGAGTAAAAGGGTAAATTAAAATTTGGTTTGTCATCCAACTGCCTAGAAAAACAACTTCTAAATAATTGAGACACTGCATTTAAGCATGGAGCAGAGCCCCACTCTGAGTTCTGAATTGTGACTAGAACTTCCTTTTTAATACCAGCTTCACTATTGCGTATCACAAAATTTTTCAGTGATGCTTTATGGACAATGTAGCTGGTAAAATACAGTTAATGAAACTGGTCTAAGAGCCTTTTTAAGCATGGAGCAGAGCCCCACTCTGAGTTCTGAATTGTGACTAGAACTTCCTTTTTAATACCAGCTTCACTATTGCGTATCACAAAATTTTTCAGTGATGCTTTATGGACAATGTAGCTGTAAAAAAGCCTTTTTACCTTTTTCTTTCAAAGTAAAGTCTTGTACTGGATTTTCTGAAGTTATTTTTCCATTTGGTATGACACTGCTGTTTCGCTGAAAGAAAACAAACAATATTACCAAATAAGCTACCATCGTCTGATAGCAATGGCAGTGACACCCTTTGAAATCATGAGTTTGGCAGCATAATCCTGAAATCTGTTGTAATCTTTGCTTGAGACGCAGTATGGATGTCATTAGTTTCCCCTCTACGGTTGTATTCACTACAGGAAAAGAAAGGAAATTTGGCTCTTTATATGTTGTACATGCCTTCTTAGTTTCATGCAAATTTTGTGGAATGCTGTATGCTATGGTGCTACCCTGCTACATCTACCCTGCAACAACTCCCCACAGAGTTGTAGCATGGCTCAAGGTCTGCTGTTTTTCAAGTGATCAAAACTCTCTCACCCAGAAGAAGGGTCCCAAAACACAGAGAAAAGCAACATGTTAGAAGATACCCCTTGAATTTAATCTCTTCTTACTTAGGCCCTTTAAGTTCTTGAAGTTCTATAGGACAGAGATAAATGCATGACATAGGACCCTTCAGAGTCCTCCCTGCCCTCCCCACTCCTTAGTTTGTATAATAGCTGGCTACATCTGGGTCCTTGTGAAAGTATTTTACCCTTTTTTGGCCCCGGTCTCGCTTGTGGATTTTATTGAGCTTCTTGGAATGGTTTATTCCGAGTTTGGTACTCTTGAAAGATTCTAAGCGCTTCCTCATTGTCCTATGGAAAATCTCCTTGTCTTGTTTCTCATCTTCACTGTGCATGATCTCATGTCGACTGTACAGGTGTTTGTGCTGTTACCAGGAAGGGAAGACAACATTCATTTATTTAGAAATACAGCTGGAAGCTCTGAATCGATGCATTCAATCAGTGTCATGCAAATGTAAACAACTCCATAAAAAAGAAAGAACCAAAGACTAGTCTAAAGTCATTAATGAAACTCCTATTTTTCTTTCTTCATCATGAGACAAGTATAAGTCCAGGAATTTTAAGTGCATAAGGGTGGCTGTCATTCAGAGTAAGCTTCTCTCAATAAGTGTCTGAATCACTTCAGTTGATACACGCCATTTAATCCTGCTTCAGAACCTATATTGGGTCCAGTTCTGCATTCCACTGGCCCCAGAGAAATCAAAGGCACCAGTTCTGTTAAAGAGGCATGCTCATAAATAAGAAAGAACATAGACAAAGAGCCTGTCTTCCCCAAGGGTACAGATTTTGCATATGGGTTCTTTAGTTTTGAGTTTCACTCCCAAATTTTGGTTCCTAATGTCTCCTAGGTTTAGACTGGAAAGCAGTCCAATGTTAGCCTTCTGTCCTCACCTCCTGCCTGGGTTTATACAGGTACTGCTGTAGGGTGTGATGAGCGACTGTGTCTTCTGTGTCCCGGATGCTTTTCCTCCTCTGCTCTAAAGCTTGCATGTCAAGGCAAACTGGTCCAGCTTTTTCTCTCCTGAAGAAGAATACAATATACAAACAGCAGTTTTAAAAATCAATAATTGCTGAAGAGGAAGAAAAAAACCAAGAAAATGGGGAACAAGAGGGAGAAATGAAGTTTTTTTTAAAAAAAGAAAATGTCAAAATTGGCTAAATGAAAATGAGTGAGCAAATATGTAACGTGAAATCTGAAAAGGTTATTATTTTTTGTCTTTCAGGTGAGTGTAGAATTAATTTCTCAGTTTACATGGCACATAGTCTGTTTGGTGAAAGAATCATGGAAGAGTTAAGGAAGAAGCAGGGTTTTTTTCCTTGCCTCTCTCCTTACTTTTTCTGGAGCAGACACAGAAATGACATCTAGCCCTGTCTATAGCAGTTGGTGAACAAAAGGCAAATGAAACAACTCTAATGTGGATGTCTGCTTCATCTTACCAGCCTTTACGGCAGAAATTTGTTTGTATCTATCTAAAATGCAACAATATAACTGTATGTATACCCATTTCATATGGGAGAGAAGATTAACTGAAGTTCAAAAAAGTAGTGAATGAAGCCCCTGTAATCCGCATTTTTCAAAATTTTTAACACTTTTTCCCTTTCCTCACATATAACATAAAAAAACCCACAACACCCCCTCTCCCCACATTCCTTACAGTAAAGTCCACATTACTTACAGTAAATAAGAGACAGAGCCTTCCACAGTACTTGGGCGTGGGGTGCTGAAATCAACATTTACCATGTTGTCTGTACTGGGAGAACGTATAAATGCCAAGGAACCTCTACGCTCTCCCTGGCCACAGAAAGAAACAAGACATATTACAGCTGTAAACACCTAGGGCAAAATGTGCATCTGAAAATGCAGATAATTTGTGAGACTGCTGTATGCAAATGGAGTAAGAAGCAGGGGGAAATTTAGGTAATGAATACAAACCGTTTTGAGGTTTTATGGTTTCTTTATGTTGAGTGATGTTATCCCAATGAACAAAGCTAGGAGAAAAACTATTCCACTCTTACAAATTGATTCTGAGGAGGTGAGTGTTTTCTTAGGCCTCAATCTGTTTGCAATCCTCGCACGTTTGCAATCTAACTCGTTTCTCTTCACAGACCCTTTCAGGGATGAACCTTTTACTTTGTACCACATTGTAGACCAAGCAGATAGGGATACCTATGCAGATTTTTATGACTTGACACATCACTGCACTAACAGTAGCATTTTCAAAGATACAACACTGTTTTCTGTTCTTTACCAGACTGGAAGCAGCAAATGTTAATTGGTGGTAGAAGACTATTCGAAAGAGGTTATGGTATGAAGAGATGAGATACTGAAGAGATGATGTTTGCTTTCATTTCTAAAACGAGTGTCACAGAAGTGAATTACTGGAAAAGCTCAGATTTATGTCTTCACAGTTCTCCCTACTGCTTGTGTAATCTGTTGTTTAGGTGAAAGGTAGCTGTTGAGTGACATTGTGGTTACATAGGCTGAACCCGTCTATGGTTTTGAATCGCAGCAGAGAGGAATCATGTAGCAGGTCTCTACATTTTAAACTGTAGTAAAGAATACACCAAGAAAAAACATCTCCCTTGCAGAATATTGAAAGAGATCTTATGTACATTTCTCCAACTTTAGCTGTATTGTGTCCCCTTTACATTTTTACATTCACAGAGCAAATCAAACAAATATTTCCTTTTACTGTGGTAGCCCGCATACGTGTTACAGTAGTATATATTGGATTGGACCAGTGGCATTAAGAAGTACACTCTAGCCTCTGTAGGCCGAAAACCTAAGAGAAAAACCAGTAAATTCTGGGTCAGCATCATCACATCCATTTTCTTAAGTGCATGTGACTTTCTTCTCAAGTCAAGTTTAATGTTTCATATATACATCATACCATATCATCAGTGGAGGAATTTTAGCCAGAAGTTATGAACTGTAAGTATTTTAAGTTGCTTCTATTCACTTGCTCTGGATTATTTTCATTTTCCCTGGCTCAGGCTCCCCCCTCTCAACTGTAAGGAATTTATTTAGGTTCAGCCTGAACTCTCTCAAGCTCTTGTTTATTGTGCAGATGCAGCATAACAGCAGAGCTGAAAAAAGAAAAATGTCTAAAATAGTTTTTAAACTCCTCAGTTTCTTGTAAGTGAGAAGAGAGTGAGTAGCTGCGGGAGGCAGATCTTTACTCCTGGAAGAAATGGCTTCAATTTCAATGTCAGCTTGTAATTCACAGATATTTAGCTCGAAGATATATTTCAGAAGTCAAGGAAAAGCTGTTAAAGCAGTGTATCACTGAAGCAGGTATTAATGTGAGAAAGGTGGAATGACTTTAGGATTCACAACTCATGACTAATCAGGCATATTAACATAACTAATTTCCACTGGAAGAAACCATGTTGCAAATCTTTTGCAGAACCTGGAGAACTTTTCATTTCTTTATCTATTATTATCAGATCAGTAGACATTTGCCAATAGAATTTGTCTGCACAATATACACAAATAGTATTTGGACTAGGGTAGCAAAAGTCAGCTTCCTTGTGTTACGAACTGTACTAAGGTTTACTGAAAAAGGTAACTAACTGTCCTAAAAAAATTAATAATCTAATTTAATAATAATCTAACTTAATCTGACATTACTAAGTGGAATTCAAGACATTATTGGGTAAAGATTCTGGGGCTAAATCTGCATGGCTTAGTGATCTATAGAGTCTTTTGCATCTGTTAAAGAGAAAAAATACTGTAATGAATCTACTGAACAGATTCAGCAGTGAATCTGAACATGAGTGTCATGCTTATCAACATCAAAGTCATTATCTAACTTTCTTTCCCTGAGATGTGACCCAGAAAGCACCAAAAGAAGGAAAATTAGTTCTTAAGCTCAAATGGCCTGAAAACTGAACGGGTAATTTACAAAATCTCAAAAGGAAGTATTTGTTTATCTTGTGAACCACTCCCCATTTTTCACACTAACATAATTTCTGAGTTTAGTCTTATTTTCTGAATTCGATCTTTGAAATTCAATGTTTCTCTGAATTCGATTTTTGAAATTCAGTGTTTCACTGGAAGGAATCTGCCTGTCTTTGCTCAATTTCAAAAACAGAAAAGAGGTTATTATTAGTAGTAGTATCAGTCACAGTAAAAGTATTTATTTTAATTAAAGAAATTAACTAGTGTATCACTTAGCTGTGAAAAGGTGTTCAGTTGGAGATTATGGGCATAGATAGACTATCACTTCAAAGATCACTTTTTAAAATATTCCATTTAAAACTATCCTCTACACTGCATGAATACTGCACATTTGTGGTGATTTGAATTAAGGTGACCGGTTTCATGCTGAAGAAGATTAGGAATTCTCACACAATCTGCTAACATTGCTCCAGTCTGGGAATGGTACTCCTACAGAAGGCCAGTAACTTTCTTCCATTCTGTAACTTTAAAAATTTCTCCTGTTGCAAGTCTTAAGTTTCTCTAACTTCACAATTCTGTGATTGCATTTGGTATCTGTAGTATATCATTTTAACCCTAATTTTTGAAGTGTGGGTGTTATGATTCCATTGAATTAAAGTTACCCTATTACTGTGATCTGGCAGAATGAGATTATAGCAGTCCACTACTTTGGTCATATATCCACACCATTTGGAAGTGACCTTCTTCAAATCACATTTGTCATCACACAGAACTACTGTTCTGCAGGAGCCAGACTCTGTTGACACATTTAGAAAGATAGTAGTTTGCCTCATCCCTTTGGAGTTACAGTGTTTTTTCATGCAATGAATATAGAAACAAAGTTATTCTGTAAAATCCAACAGAAAAGTACACTGACATAAGTACAATATATGCATACTTTGGGATCAGGCATAATACTGAAAACTACAGCCACTTATACAGTTGATAATGAGACTCAAAACACATTTTAAAAAAAAAAAAAAAAAAAGGAAAGCAGAAACGAAAATAGTTTTCTTTTAGACATCTCCTGCAATATATCAACTTTACGTTATAATATAAATTATAAAAAGACCCCAAACCCAAATGACGCTATAATATGTCAACAAGTATTCATAAGTACCTCAGCCACATAGCTAATTGCGTCCTTCAAGTTGAGTTCATGGAAAACGTTAAGGATCTGGTCTCTTGATTTTTGGGCAGACCTTCTCATCAGTACTTTACTCAGGAATTTCCTATCAAAATTGGACCACCTGATAATTTAAACAAACTGTGTTAATTTCACAGCATTTTTAGTTTAGCATAAATGATATTTTTGTGAGCTAAGCATTTTTTAAAAAATGGTGAACATAGCAGTGTAAGGGATTTGTGTTTTGAAGCTTTCCAATTAGCTTTTACATAAAGTTAAGGAAAAGCCTGCTACAGAGTTATGTAGCTGTCACAAAGCATTTCATAGGTTCACTTACCAAAGAGTACTACAACAGCAAGAGTGCTATGATTACAGTATCCTATTTCAGAGTCACTAGGACATTTTATACTCTGGGAGATCATGCTACCTTATTTTTCCACTTCTACTTATACAGTTATATTTAATAGCTTCATCCTAAAAGTTTAATTTTCTTTCCTCCTTTGGAAGGGAATCTTCTTTTCCCCAGATGTATTGTAGGACAGTCAGCCCATAAAATCAGTTCACAACAACAACTCCCTTCCAAAAGCACTTACAGAGGGCTTTATTCATGCCATTGACATATTCTGGAAGATAGAAGTGATGTGTACTTTCTGTGATTTACACTTCCAAGCCTACCTGATAGTAGGATATCTGCTATTTCATATTTAGGCTCCAGAAGACAAAGGCTGCTTTACTTTCATCTACCTTCCTCAAAATTTTCTCTAAAGAACTTGAGGCAACTTTGGACACTGACTATTCAAAGTGATTCTATCCATCTTGCCCAATGGCTATTTTGAGTTTACAACTTTTTATTCAGATTGTTGAAACTTCTTGGTTGTTAAACATTATTCACAAAATTGATAACCATTTGTCTTCTCTAGCCAGAACATTTGACAAGCAATCTCTAACTCAGACTGCCTCACCTGAGCACATCAGTGAGGATGCTAGAGGCTACCATTTATTTGAGGAAGCAGCACTTTCATGTAGATACCGTCCAAAAGAAGCAGACTTAAGGTAGTCTCATTCAAAATACATTAGTCATCACACCACACACTCAACCATGGATCTACATTAAGCTACTCCTTCTCTTGTTACTCAGGGAGATTACTTTCTGACATCTAAGAAGTCAAACTCTAATCTGCCACTTTAAAAATATTTAGCTCCATCTTCGAGACAGTATTTCAAAACTGAGGATATATTCCCCTCTATTATAGCCTGTTGAAATACATTCCCAAAAAGTAAACTAAAAATTTAGACCAAAAGAAACAGGATGTTCCATTTGGGATGCCTCACAAAAATTCTTCCCTGCATAAACAAACAAAGAGCAAAAGGAAAGGAAGGAAACTGTGCCTATAACTGGGTACAGACAGGTGAGCTCAGTTACAATCTAGGTCCAGCCAGGAGTTGTACAGTTGTACGAGCATAAGGCTAAACCTAAGCTAATATACTCAGTGTCTCAGCAAAGGTTAGGGGAGTGCTCTGCAGAAAACTCACACAACTTTGGGTTGGAATTGACATGTTGAGTCAGCAGGACATAAGCAGGGCATGACTGTGACTGTCTATGAAATGACCTAATTCCAGGGAGAGAACTGCCTAACCTTGAGTAACACTCTTAAAGATGTCCAGATTTAATGTCCTTTTTCACATGTATTAATCTAGATTATGGAAGTCTGCCCATCACAATAGTTAAGTCTTCACATGTGCTTTAAAGAAAATGATGTCTGTATCTTTCAGTTGAGTAATTTTTCTTCTCTCAAGATGAATCAACTATAAACAGAGGAGGATGGAAATGACCTGTAATTTTCATTATTGGTTTCAAACTAATAGGCTTAAACTATCGAGTAATTCCAAAGCACCCTCTGACATCACTTTCAGAGGTTTTGAACACATCCTTTGTAGAAATAGGGTAAACGACTAGCATAGTCGTAGTTGAGTTTTTTGTAGTCTCCACACACAAATAATGTGTATGAAATGCAGTATTACAGAGAAGGACCAACATTAACATTTTAGGTTAAATCTTGTGCAAATGGCCAGTTCTCAAATCCTGAGAGAAGCTGATCCCTGGATGTGAACCGAGGCATTCGCAAAGGCCTAATCTGAACTGTGGAAGAAAAAGAAAATATTCCAGTTGTAGGGGGAAAAAATAAACCATTTTCACATTTTCTGTATTTCCAGTATTTTCAGTATATAACCTTTTAAACTACATTTGACATCCTTGCTGTCCCTAAACTCACAGGCTTAAAAAGTCATAATTTACAGATAAGATTTACTAGCAGTATTTCAACATTCCAAGTTAGTTACTACTTACTTGTCTCTCAGATAATTGTGTCCTATTTGTCCAGAAATGTCTTCTATAGCAGAAAGAATGTGATCAAAAGCCTAGGAAAGTGACAGTGGAATTAATATCTTTACAGAAATAAAAGGCATAATTAGAAAATACCTCAGTTTATGTCAGGTTATACCAGAATAATTTTACTGCTGCTAAGTAGATTTTTTTTTCCCCATTTACAGAAATACTAACTACTATATGCTTTTCTTCAAAGGTCCTGAGCTTTCTAACCAGTTCTTTACAAATTCACTAACTATTCCTGCATTTCAAGGATCTCACCAAGAAGGTACTTAAGCCCCCATTTTAATATTCACTTTTAAGACTCTTTTTATTGACTCATTTTACCATCTCCATTTCTTCCCTATGAAGTACATAAGCCACTATTAGTATCAGTGATTAAATCCGTTGAAAAATTTCCCTAGTGTTTCTTTTTAGATGTTTCAGGAATCCACACTTCCCTCAGAATAGAAGTAGGCACCGTTCTTTTGATACCTAGGGCAAAATCCCATACTGGGTATATTAGATGGCTGATAGAAATTAGATGGCTGAGGTTTGTAACTCTTGATTCAAACCAAAGCAGCTGCAGGTAGCATTTGGTCTTTTTCCGTGTATGGTTGTTAACATTTCACTCCGAACATTGGAGTGATTACTGCAGAATATACAGCATGCTAGTTTTAGAGCAACATGGGTGATATGAATTATTCCTGAATATAATATTAATTACTGCCTCAGGAGATATCTGACATAGAAGTGGAGAAAATGGTATTATAAGTTGTCTCCCTCCTACTACCTGAGAACAGACAGTGCTCCCTCTCTCTGTAGGCTGCCGTTTATACAGTTCTAGGAGCACTGTGCCTCCTGAGACCTATCTGCTAGCATATTCTAGCAAGTGGTGAATCAGTTACATACAACTTTACAAAGTGTTAGGATTAACATTAGTGCTTAACCTGCACTACTAACTGACATGTAAAAGTATATCCCATAAAGGTAGACAGACTGTATTCCTTCACCTGGGGGAAGAATCCCGATTTTCATATAGTAAAATATTCAATGGAAATGGAAATTTGAATTGCTGGATAACAAAAACATAATGTATTTATTCAGTAGTGTGCGAAAGAATTCCTCAGAAACAAACCCTGTCCTAACAAACCCTGATCACTAAGTTGTTAACTCACTTCAGGTAACCTCCAACGTGAAAAAAGACAAGATTAGAAGCTCGTAGAAGATAGTGTTAAAATACTCAGTGCAGGATAGCTGTGTGAATCTGAAAAGTTTATAAATTAAAGAAGGTCATGAAAGGTCTTATAGTTTTCCATCCTTTAACCTATATTTGTATTGAAAATGTATGTTTTCTTTTACTGAATAAAAACTTCAAAATGTTGTGTGAAAGTGAATTGGAAGATATCATGTTTCAAAATCTTTTAAAAGGTTAAAGAAATGTAGGCACACACAGCACTCACGCTGAACTAAAACTATTACCATTAATCTGGAATTTCAGTATACAATTAACACTGCACTGGGCAGCAGACTACCTTTCTATGTAATATGCAAGCTACAAAACTTGCTTTTGCATCTTTTCCATACATAAACAATATTTAAGAAGGAAAAATAAACTTATTTCCACATCTTTGCCCTAGTGATCTTCAATCAAACATCCTCCTCTTTTAGATTAAGAGAAAGAAGTATATTCCAACTGTGCTGTTTTCCCAGTACTGTTAGTCAGATTGAATTCTCAAGTAAAAGACCAGAACCTTCAGTTCAGTATCCCCTCACAGGACTCAACCCAAAGACAAATTACAACCTATAGATAACTTCTGAAATATTGAAGGATTTTACATTTGAAATTTGATTCTCCCCTCCCTTTCAAAAAGAAAATTTCTCTAATTTTTTTTCTTTTCTTTTAAGGCACTCTGTAAAAATCCAAAAGATACCATGGTTTTGTTTAAAAATATCTTACTCTGCCATGGAGTTTCTCATTCAGTTTTGGCTCTCTGTGTTCAGTTTTCTTCACTTTCAGCCACTGTACCAAAGGCTTGATGGTCAGTCCCTAAGGATTGAAATATGATAATAAATATTTAGGAACTATCTTAGACTTCCCTCCAGCTAGTCATTGTTAAAGGGAAATAGAACATTTTTATATGTTAGATGGTGATTCTCATACTTCCTCAGTTGATCTCTGTCCCTTTTAGAAGATAAAATAAAGCAGTACCCTCAGCTTCTATTACAAAAGTTTGAAAAGACACCAACCAGTGAAAAAATCTGTCTTCTATAAGAAAAATATGGTTCTAGAAGGGTTAAAGTGTTTCCTGTACCATTGAATGTGGTATTTTCTGCACATTTCAGGAATCTGTGACCACAATTAAACTTTCTATAACAAATTTGAGAAAAAATTCCAAGCTGGTATATACTGACATATCTCCATTGAAATTAATGTTGTTTTTTCGTCCAGAAAGTGCTGTTTTCTTTGGATGCTAAATGCTTTCTTGTCCCACTGCTTACTGCTATATTTTAAAACAAGGACTCAGGCTCAGGTAGATCAGCTCAATGATTGTATTTGCCCATAAAAAGGACTGTTCTCTATAGCTATTCACATGAGGCAAAGGGTGTTTAATCAGATATTAACTTGAGCGCTATTAATACCAAGCAGATATGACTGAACATTTTTTAGCATAGAGGAAATTGTCTTTTGTCCCCTGTGGTGCCATATAAAAACATAAAATAGGATCTTTGTTACTAAAATGATAAATTCAATTATGCTTTCAGTTCAGTGAAACAGTATGCAACCTTCAATTGAGAACTCCTTTAAGCATTCAGTACCTTCGGGGGATTCTTTCTCCTTGCAAGAAGCATGCGTAAGAATTTGAATTACCTGGAAAATAACAGTAAAAAACACAACAACGATAGTTGTGCTGACAAACAGGTTTTTCTCTCTCACTTTGTCCCCATCCAGAAGAGCAACCAGAGCAAAAGCAACCGCTCCACGTAGTCCACCATATGACATCACCACCTGGTCTATTATCTCCAACTGGACCATTCTGTAGTGGTTAAGAATCCATGTCTGTATAACTACACCTATAAAAAACAAATGTCAGCATGTCTAGATTATGAAATGTCAATAGCCCAACTGCGTGTAACAGAAACAGTATCACCAGTCTGCTTTCATAACAAGTCCTCTACACCATCTACTTCTTCTGTATTGCCATGCTGCCAAGGATGGTAGGCCCACTTGGTACTTTCCCTTTTATGTTTAACCAAAGGAATTAGATAAAACTTCTTCTCTGAGCCAGCAGCTCTTATAAGAGTGCTGCTCTCTGGCATAGGCACTACAGGTGAAATTCTGCAATGTGTTGACCTATGAAATTTGCAGTTGAGAAAGAATACAATTTCTAGCACCATAGTCAGTGATATGCACAGGGTCTTTTAACAGAAATGGATTGAAACAGTGTTGATTTAGGGAGTAAGTGTGGTACTCCTTACAAAAATTACATTTATGTCATTGTCTTATGGAGGGTTGTAGTTATGCTAACATTGTCTTCAGGCCTACAGATGAGATGCTGCCTGCTGTAGGAGACCTAAAGCTCTAGAAGTCATAGTGAGTCCAAGACCTTCCATACAGAAGGAAAACAGCTTCACCAGTCCTGAGAGTGGCACAGTATGTGTGTCTGACTGCAGCATGTCAGGACTGTTAACCAGTGCAAAAGAGATATTTCTCTTTTCAGACAGCTTTGAACTTGTGCTAAGGGAAAAGTGTCTTCTGTATATCCCTGTAAGCAAGGCCTTTGGTGGAGGAAACCTTGAAAATTAATTCATGCCACCAATCTGACTCCTCCAAGGGTATGAGAGCTGCACTTACGTAAGGCCCAGTATCATCAGGTCTTTAGTAATTTATCAATGTCTAAGCTCATTTGCTTTAATGGATGCCTATTCTTATTGCTGAATATTTACTATTTAATTATTGATCACACTTATTACAGGATTGTTAACCGCTCATTCCAGGAATGCAACAAGTGACAAAGTCAAGATAATGAAAACTTCTTTAAACTCCTCACACACATCAGCGTTAGTGAGAGCTGGCTAAATGAACCATGGTTACAGGCTGTTTAGAAAGGAGGACATGGAGCTAGCCCCTTCATTCAGCTCAGGCATCTCTAGACAGAATAAGAATACAGGGTCTAGGAAAACTGCCAGCTAGATAGATGCGTTACCTTCTATTTTAATTTAATTCAAGACAAACCAGGAAATAAACCTGTTTAATTTATTCCCAAATATAAGTACGTACACCAAATCACTATGTGTGTTACTCTCTATAATTACTTCATTCTATGCCTTTTTTGTGATTTTAGCCCCTTTGCTATTTGACAAAACAGTGATTAAGTAGAAGAACTACATAGTTGGGCAAATCATCATTGAGATTTTGAAATGTTTGCAAACTTATATAAGCCCAGTAAATTGACAATAGGTAATCCCTACCTGCCACAGTCTTATTTACTCAGTTTTTCATCAGTCCCTGAGAATTATTTCTTAAGCCAAAGAACCTGTGGTGTAATTATGTATGGTCTTACATCACTGTGTGTCTCAAACCTGAAGTCAACCATAAAATTAGCTTAAGACAATCTCTTTATTACCAAATTGAAAGAGCTGAAGGAAAGAGATGGCTGACAGGACTCACATCTTTTGTTAGGCTGCAAGTTAAAGAACAAAGTCCGTTTCACTGGGAGATTTTGCCAATACCATGTGCTGGGTTAATAAAGATTAGGCACTGGGTGATTCATGTTAACCGCTGGGCTAGTGATATCCTCATCAAAAGTGAGATCCTACTATATTTTCAGCATAAGATGAAGCTTACTGTAGAGATCTACCCTCCTAACCCAAAACCAACCATAAATAAATGGAACAGTTTAAAGGAACAAGTCTAGAACTTCAAATTCTTTTCCTTTTTTTTTTTTTTTTTTTTTTTTTTTTTAGCAAAAGAATATGTGATTGCATCAACAATACAGTGCAGGGACAGGAAGAAGATCATCCCCTTACCAATAACTCTATATACTGAGATAAAGACCAGAGTCAATAGAATAAAAGCTGTATTCCAAGTCCAGATGTCTGGATTTACAGCCGAAATTCCCAGGAACATGAAGATAATAGTTTCTGCTCCGCTCGCCATCATTTTCATGGTATATCTTACAGTTGTAGAAGATTGTTCAGATATGTTAGCCTTGACATATTTCTGACAGCAGATGCCACAAAAGGTTATCCTAGAAAAAAAAGAAGCAATTGTTCAGAAAACGTTTCTTGTAACATTTAATATTATTTCCATCTGTCACACAGTGACAAAAACCCACCTTTAATTCCTAAGAAAAAATACACTCAGGAGCCATTGTAGAGTCTACTCTAAGTAAAAAGCGTATCTCAAACATTCATCCTGAGGTGACCTCAAGAAGTCTGAAGACAGCATTTCATTAGATTGTTACAGACCTTAATTCTCCTCAGATTACCATGCTACTTTACATGCAAAATTTTAACTCTTGTTTACATTAGACATAATCTTAAACTAATGATCTGTTTGCAGTAAGATTTTCAGATCTTGAATATACTCACTGTAACATCTACAAACATGACAAGCAAAACTGGGAAGAAAGGTGTGCCAGGAATCAATGGATACTAAAAGAACAAAGACCACAGAGGTGCTCAATCCAAAACAGGCAAGATTTAGGCAAACTTTAACAGGCCAGTCAAGACAGTGAGAGCAGCAAATAACAGATATTCACATAATGCCTTAGAAAAATATTGGTTTAATTGCAAATTATAGGGTTTTTGAAAGATGTAAATACAAATGGACAATTGTTAGCTATTGAAGTGTTACTAATCACAAAGAGGAAAGAGTTAACTCTGTATTTTGCAAAGGAAGTTCTCAGGTTGCACAACAGATACTGGAAATCTTGCATTCCTTTTCAAGGCTGAAAGACAGTATTTGCAAACGATAATCTATTGCAGTGTGAAGACAGTAATATTCAGCATACACTTCATGATTGTCATCTATATCTGTCCTATATAATTTAGGTATTTCTTTTCAATGTTTTTATAAACCATATTCCCTCCCCAGCCCCTTCACAGGCAGTAACAAAAAAAGACTTACGCAAGGATAGCGGAAAGAGAAAGCATCTCTGCTGTGAGGTAGGACAGGTAGGAAATGATAAACACAAATCCAGGTTCAATGATTCTCACATGCTTGGTGAAACGACTGACCAATGAGAGCAGGAAGGCAAAGAAAATGCCAACGAGTGTCCCACCCAGGCTCACCACAAAGAATGACACTGAAAAACAAAATGAAACACAGCTTAAACAGCAGAAATATAGTAATTTGAACTAGTTCTCTTCTATTGTATGGCCAACAAATCAGAGAAAATTTTGGAGGACACATCAAAAATTATTTCTAAAATGCAAAAACATGAATTGCTTTTGAGCACTTGGTATTTGAATACATTTTGTAGAAAAAATAAGGTTACTTTCTGTTAAGCCTCACCATGTTAGGTTTATTCAAAACCCACTACATTTCCTTGAAAATTTTTTTCCCATATTCTGTAAATAAATGCTTTTCTAAAAGCCTATTATAAAATATACCAAAGTCACTGTTAAAACATTGATTCATGAGATAATGTAGTATCGTGTCATGCTTGGAATGGGAAAGAGCGACTAAATTTTTGAGTAAATAACATTTCTTGATAGTCACTGGCAAATGTTACTTGATGGCAACCAGTGATAAGGAGTGAGAACGCCCATATGCAATTTCCACTTTCCTGGAACGCAGGGAGAGGATAAGCTGAAACTAGGGACATATTATAAAATACAAGGAAAATATGTATAGCTGTCCAGTTTGGTGGTCTTAACAACTGAACTCCACATCTGTTGAGTCTCCTCAGAAGAAAACAAATCTGATTAAGTTTCCCAAATATTCACTTATTTATTTTCTTAAGACATTCATCTATGCCACGGGAGTGTGGGAATATGAGTGACAAGGGAAAGGGCTGAAAAATAACAGTTACTGATAGCTGATATATGTACATCAATGATGTGATATGGAATTCAATTTTACACACCTATGCCTTTGACACATTCAATCCCCGTCACATTCTCAGGACCGATTGTAACAAAAGATTCAAACACATTGTACAGCACCTGAAAAGAAAAGTAGACTAACTTAATATTTGCTCCTGAATTAAGCCTACTAAAATAATCTCGTTATGGGCCCCAACATTATGAATTCTGAAATTCTGTATGACTGAGGGAAATTCTGTCTGGAGGGAGAAGATTTTGCAGATTTTTAAATTTTTCTAAATGGAAAAAATGCAGTGGAGCAAGAAGAAACAATAATTTTCAGAAAAACAACTCTCCATTTCTTATTTCAATGTAATTTCTATCTGTAAGAGACATTGTTACATCTAGATGTGTTTTCTAAAGCACTTCTCACTCTAAAATCCAGGTAATTGGCAGATTTATTTAATCACCTGTATAAGATAAATAAGATGCTTAATAAGATAATAAGAAGAAGCTAAGAATAAAATAATGAATCGAAATAGGTTGAACGTACGTAAAGTAAGTTGAACATAAAAGAGAATAATCTATAATAATTGTACTAAAGCTTTTAAAATAATTGACTAACAGTGATAGTGCTGAAAGAATTCATCTTATCCATACTCCTGCCTAAGGAGGTTTGTATGAGCATCATTCTTTACACATGCCTGACTAATCTATTCTTAATTCCTCCAGTGATGGAGAACTTTACTATGGCTTTCTTAGCTTTCCTTGCTGCAGCTAAGCTTGTTAATTCTTACCATATTTACCCCAGTCATAGCATACAGGTTACTTTGTTCTGTAACAGTAGTCTTTTACATATTTACTTTTAAAGAATGTTACATCATCCACTTTCTTCTGTCCTCCAGTCTTTCCTTTTTCAAGGTAAGAACTCCAGTTGTTTCAAACTTTCTCATAGGCTGTGTTTTCTGACTCTTGATCATACTTACTCTTCTCTTCTGGATTTTCTTCAACAATCAATCAAAGGTCATTTTATTTGTACAGTGAGTGTATTCATTTCACAGTAACAAAAACTCCTTTCCTTGCGAAAGCCAGTGATGTTGATATTTAAATTCATCAAGGGTTTATTTTAATATTTATTTCTGGTAATATCCCAAAAGTACTAATGAGACTGATATACAAAGGCAATTATGTTTCTCTGGAGGTCCTAAATGGCATTTTCAAACTCATGTGAACAGTTAGGCTGCTGCCAGTGACATTGCAGTGCCTTGCTGTCTTCATTGCAAAAAATCAAGCCACTGAGCCTAGTGGACATGTCTTACCCTCCTTTGGAGATATGCAGGAGTCAGAATAGGAGATGATCCAAGAAGTGAATTGAAGCTCTATAGCAACTCACTTGCATGTCATCTTTCTGCCATAGAACTTTCTGGTCCCTGCCCACTAGCACTGTTACACAAAACTATCGACTATTCTATTCTGAGAAAAATTTTATGTGAAAAGAAAAGACATTTCAATCAAAATAAAAACATCAGTAGAAATTTGGGATTTGGGATTGTTTTAAGTCTATGAAATTCTATTAAGTTTTCCTTTTTTTCTAAATGAAAAAAACAAAGAAACAAACAAACAAACAAAAAACAAAACCAAAACAAAAAACCCAGAAACTAACATGTTACCAAAAAAGCCCAAATCAAACCAGAACTTTCTAAAATGGCCCACAATTTTTCTCCAATTGGCTCTTCGTTATATATCTGTTTGATAAACATCTGCTTGAAGTAAAAGAGAGGGAACAGGCATGAGCACTTTGGCGAGTATTCTCTCTCTCAGCCTATATATTGGAGGTATGCATATAAACTACGGGCATAACAGAAATACGCAGAAAAGAGTATGTGCATTAAAAAACAGCAGCAAAGAAAGGCTTAAAATCCCTGGAACTAATTTCAGTAAGTCATTATTTGAACAGCAAAGGCAAATAAAACATACACATCTGAAACTCCATTAAAATGTTTTTATGCTCATCCAACCTAGGACTGTATATTTTTATGTGACTTACGGGCTCCAAATAGATTTCATGCTCAAATATTTAATCTTTGCAATACAGTGTTTGTAAGCAAGACAGAGAACACCATGAGCTACTCTACACTAGCCCAAGAGTAGAAACACGCAGATGATATAGTATTTCATTTAAGGGGAAAATACACTTCAGAAGAAACCCACTAGATTTTGGGTGATGTTGGGATATAAAATTTACTTACCACAGTTACAGCATCATTCAGAAGTGATTCTCCGAAAACAATGATGAATAGAATTTCATTGACATGGACTTCTTCAAACACTGCCAGAACAGCTACAGGATCCACAGCGGCAATTAAGCTGCCAAACAGGAGGAAATCCAGCAGTCCAGTATTCAGGTGGCCTTGAAAAACAAAGCAAACACATTATAAGCAGAGTCTGCTCTGTATTATCTACAGTAATGACAGATTGTAATATTACAGATAAAGCAAAATCCTTGAAAACAGGGATCCTAAGGCATCAACTGGAATGCATGGCACAGAAACTACTTAACAAGTTCTGCATTGTGTTACCTTGTGTCCTACAACGTTAGTTGGATTCAGTGTTGACCCATGTGGATCAAAGTTGATTCTGGGAGCAGTACAATCCTGGTTTTATGGCAAGGCACTTAGAGATAAGTATTTCCAGATCTAAACTGGCTTTGTATTTGTGTGTGGTATGGTTTATCTAACTTGAGTAAATTACGTCAGGATAACTGAGAACTGACAAGATGCAAAGAGGAGTATACCAGTACTCCTGAAATAAATATTCCAAAATACTTCATGCCACAGGCCAGATGTGACTCTTGATTGCTAAGAACTGCTACAATGGGGCTTAACTGCACTCAGTGCAGTTAAACACCAACTGTGGCCTCCTTATTCAAGTAGATATTCATTGATAGGTGCAGTTAAGCCACTTGTTCCCAAATTATGACTCATGAGGTCACTGTTAAATTGTCCGCAAGTGGACCGTAAAAATAGATGAAGGACTAAAATGTACCTCAACATGTTTGTATTGTAGCCCTTTAGGAATTTTGTCAATGATTTCAAAAGTTTTGGAACTACAAAACTCTCGTGACAAAGTAACCCCGTATTTATTTAATTTCTTTTAATCGTCTTTGAGTTATTAAGGTTATTTTGCTCAATTATGCAAACATACTGAGACAAGAATCACTACCATTTTAAAAGTAACAAAAAAGGGAGAGCCACAAAAATCATTTTGCTCAGCTTCCTCAATATCTTCCAAAATTTATCCTCTTCATGAAATCAAGAGTGATATCCCAGTCATTTTTTCTGGGGAACAGATTTTTGAAAGAATAGAGAACAGGAAAATTCCCTTTGTGTTCATTAATGGATGGAGGAGGAAGCACGGTTCATTAAGAGGTGATGAAGCCCAAAATTATATGAAGAAGAGCAAAGAAGGAATATGTTGAGAGTTCATTCGTTAGAACACAGTGCAGAGTTCCATGCCCAAAATTAATAGACAGTTGTATCAGACATGATTTCTACAGATGAGGGAGAAATCGGTCTGATATTAAATTATTTGGAAGCATGAGTCAGACAATAACAGTCAGTAGCTGTAGTCAGAGGATCAATATCGCCTGTGAGGTACTGTCAGAACAACATGGTTACTCCTCTAGCAATATCTCTTCCAAGATAATTTTTCAAATCCAGAATGTTTAGTGCTTGAAAGGTAATTGAAACAGAAACTAGATTCTAAATATTTTTGATACAAAATGGGATGGGCGTCTTTACTTAAGAGAAGGACACTTAGATGGGCAGCCAGAGATAGGAGTAGACAACACTCTGTTGTACGCGATAATGGCCAATAATCGGGAGGAGTTGAAAACAGAAATTAATGGTTTCCACAGATATATAACTACCTTATATTTTCAAAAAGTGAAATAGCCTTGTTCACTCTTGGACATACTGGGCTCTGAATGAGGACTGAATCTATCCGTTTTAGTGTACAAGAGGGGTTGAAGCAGTGAGGTGAAGTCTGCCAAAAATTCTGAGAACAGCCTTGAACCTGAATCAAAGTAATGGTTCTATGAATTGTTTTCCTTCTCTGCCATGCTTAAGGAAGGAACAAGCCCAATGACAATAACGATCAAGATATCAGGGTACAATAGAACATAAGCTTTTAAAATAAATCAGCTCACTGAGATTGCTTATCTTTTTTATATGTTACCAATTATAATCATTGGTACATTCTTTGAAGACTTGCAAAGCTAGTGAGCAAATATTTATGGAAAGGTTAGGACACATCTGTAATGCCTACAAAGCAGTGTCAAGAGGCACAGAGTTTCTAACTCAGACTTTTATTTAGACTAATAAAGCAGGTTATTTCCAAGTGATACATGACCATTACTTCCTCCAGCTCACCAGTCTGGAGTCACTAGCTGCCAGCAGTGACACCTGAGTAAGATAAATTCACTGGGCCTGGTTTAAGACTCATCATGTTGTTGCTACAGTCTAGCTCATACAGGAAAAAACTTTCTAAGCATTAGTCACAACCAAAATTATTCCACAAAGAAGTGCTGCATGTGTAAGTTCTCCAGCAGATGGTGGAGAGCTAGGTGCAATCAGCCAGGAAGATTTAGGATTAGATACTTCTTCCTATTCTGTGAAAGCAGACTGGTATGGCTGTTAGTTGATAGTTAAGGTGCTGATCTTTTAATTTCACTTCTAAAGAAGGATTTCTTTGTTATTATCACCTTCTCTCTTTTTCTTCTGCAAATCATAGTATCTGTAAGGATATTGAATGCAAACAAAAAGCTGCTTTTATGTTTATTTATGTAGTAAATCTATGTAATCCAATTGGGATTATGCACTCTCATATTGATGGACAATGCTACAGGCCCATTCAGTGCTAAAGCTGGAAGTAATTTGGTTTTAGTTCATCTTAGTCTGTAGTGGATATACATTCCTATATTTTAAGGATATTACTTTTAGTGTTGTTCACTCCAATTGTAGAAAAAGTAGGATAGAAACAAAAATATGCCATAGAACTCCAACCAGAGGCTGCTATGAAAACTTCTAGAAATTGAGTAACTCAGCATTCTCCTACCTTCAGCAAATAAGTAACAACAGTAAGGCTTTTCACAAAGTGTGATGCTTAGATCTTGCTGACATCTTGGAGGTCAACACAATGCATTTAGTAGATCAGTAAGTATGTGTCATGTAGATATTTTAAAGTCCTACTTAGCTTTGCTGTAGAATGACATAGTTTGAATGAGGACAGGCTTCTCTGGTCCTTTCCATAGCTGAAATTAGAACTCTAATAGGTTATAATATGTCTTGGTGGTACAGACAGGTCCCCATAGTATACCAATTAATGCTCATTCTAAACATTTAAATTCTCTGGGCATGTCAGTTTATGGTTTCCCTTTGTTAATGTCCCTATTTTTAGCCTGTAGAGCTTTAGCTGTGACCTGTGGTAGGGGGTGATTCTCCTGTTTAACTGTAAGCTCAGAGTTCTAGTATATCCTGTCACTGAAAGATTTGCATAATGATAAAGCAGAACATGTAGCCATCAAATCAAGCTTTTACAGTTAGTCAAGAATTGTTTACGAATTGGGAGAGAGCAAGACATAAATGGATTTGTCACAAAATAAAATTTTGGGGAAAAAAATTGACTTTTCCATTTCACATGTCATAAACAGGTCAATGCTTTTCCTTTAATGGTTTTTACCAACATATTTTTTAAAGTAATTATCATTCATTATATTTCACAGAACAGGGTGTTAGTAAACTATTTTTGGTCAAATTTTTAAAACTGTTCCAAGCAGCTTGGATATTTAAAGAAAGAAATCCTTGTCCAATCTGTTGCAATAACAATACCCCTTTGCTATCTTTTTTGCTCCTGAAAACTTGTATTTAACTATAATTGTGAAATTGTGGATGCAAAACATTGTGCCTACAGGCTGAAAGCACTTAAAACATCTTATCTACCTATAAAAGCCAATAATGTCTGCATTTGAGCTGTCACCTTTGTACCTTCTAAAGAAAAAATGTTACTTATAAAATGTGAGATATAGTAAGGTAAATACCTAAAATGTAAGCTAAATCTGTCATAGATGTTTATATTACAAACATCTGCAGTTATTTGAGATAAGACTTATATGAATAAGTCTGTGGTCTAGTTCTTCCAGATTGGGATTCCCTTAAAATGAATGGAACAGTTATCCCAATCTTATGCTCAAAGAACTCAGCCCCAAATTCTGCTACTTCCCTGTGTTGGACAATGGGAGCAGTTTTTGAGGCCGGAAAACTCTACTACACTATCTTCTGTAATGATCAGCTAATAGTTTAATTCTTCATCACAAAAATGTTCACTGCAACATCTGCAACTTCTGATGTTTGAGGAACTCTTTTTGTCTAGGATGAAAAGGAAGTCTCTGATAAATTTCTCTGAGTTAGTTATGCACCACAGTGGTTAGAGAACAGCCCCATGACTAGCTCTTGAGCCTTTCATACAATACAACATACTCCTTGTGGTCTTAGAGCCACTCACTCAGTCCAGTATCTCGCCACTGATTGCCAAGAACAGACAGGCAGAGTGCACAAGCACAGCAGCACACTATATCCGTACTGCTCTCAGCAGCACTCAGATGTGCCCTCACTAACCTAAGAGAATTTTGTCCTAGATGAGCTCTTGAGCTTCTTCAGTACAGACAGTAAAAAAGCATAGATAGGATACCTGTTTCAAAACACGTGCAATCCACATACAATGTGAATTATTGTTCTTCAGGTGGTAGTATATAGCTTATCTGCATGCCACACCTGCTGAGGAGACTAAGAATTGCTGTTCTGTGCCTCTTCTAGCAGTCTCATGCCCTTATATTGTAGTATAATTAAGACAGAGTGTGTCTTATGCGTGTTTGTTGGCTCTTCAGTTACAATTTCCAGCCTCAGAAGACAAAATAGAGATTTGTCATGCATACAGACCCACTCAGGAGCCATTGCTTACTTATTAAAGCTGACTGAAGGAAGACAGTTCTATTTCACAGTAACTTTGAAGTTTTCTATCACAGCAGATAGAAACAAGCCCTTTAGAGTGTATTTTTGTCTGGATGTCCATTAGCAGAATGAATCCTGAGCTTTACCCTGAGAGTGTATGCACACATTTAGAGCAGGGAAATATGAGAGACACAGGTTTAAGCCTCTTTTCTGCTTGCTTCAGAGAAGGTTTCTCAGATCATTCTTAAATTTAGCAAAAATATTACGAATTGCTCCTGTTAAAATTGGATTTTTCTGTGTAAAAGTGTTGTTAAATTGTAAAGTATCACCCATCTAACAGCTGGCATACAGTAGCATTCACAATTGTGCCTTCACAGATCAAACTTACCCATTATTCCTGTCTGATAGACACCATACAGAGATAAACCAGTTGTGGCAGCATTCCAGACTGTCCCAATCACAGCATACAAAAGGATGGAACCAAGATTTCCAAAGAACAATCTATTTGGCATAAAATATCCAGCATCCAAAACAATGGGGGGCAGCAGATAGAAGAAAAATACAGTTGGTGTAAGGGCGAACGAGGCAATGTGATCTGCTGCCCATACAATTCCGCCAAGGAAGAGACCAAGAACAATCAGCAGAGCACTCTCTGGAACCACTCGAGTGACTTTGTGGGACAATTGGAAAACTGAAAGGAAAGAGAAAAACATTTTGTCAGAATTAGAATGGAAAAACAATTTGAGTAACAACTGTTGTTATCTGACAATTTTGACTTCACACAAACTTCCTGCTTTCATTGTTATTAGACCCAAAACCATGCATGGAATGCATGGGATACAAGCAGTGTCAGAATCCAGTTACTTATAAAATAAAATAAAAAGGTTGATTTTCAGATTTTATCCAGCATATTTCAACTTATATGAATCCACTGTTCCGTAACATTTATTTCCTTTATTGGATTATCTTCTCCGTATAAGATCTGTTTA